ACAGGGCCTGCACAGGTGCAAGCCAGACTGTGTCCCAGTGCTGAGAAGGGAAAGTGGACACGGGCTACCACACTTACCCAAGAAGCTATCTCTGATTAACATCTGCTTGCAAAACAAACAAACAAACAAACAAACAAACAACTGGTTTTCTCCAGTGAAGTCTCACAGGGAGAGAGGCTAGGGCCTAGGAAAGGGTATGGTGAGTCTCCACAGCCTAGTGGCAGGCAAGGGAAGGAGGGAGGGAGGGAGGAAAGGAGGGAGGGAGAGAGGCACACACAGGTGCAAACAGAGGGGACTGACTGCTGGGTTCCATTACCTAGGAAACCAGAAGGTATTTAGGGAGAAATACTTCAAAGTTCACTTATAGTTTACAAATTGTCATTACAACTGATCCTTTTGAAGTGTTAGCAGAAATATTTCACTTTTATAGGAATTAATACTGAAACATTCAGCTGAAATAAATGCTTCATTAATGGTGTAGCATAATTTTATTTGCTGACATCAACTATACCTTTTTTGTATACTCAGAGCTGGATATTAGTCACACATTCATTATGCTTACTGACTACAATTAATACAGCAATACAGTGTATCGATAATTACAAATAATATTAAGTCACATGAACATCACTTAGAAAGGTAAATTGATGAGTGCCTTATAAAGGGTCTTGAAGAGTAAGTTAGCCTCTTCTACCACTTCCTGTGAGGATATAGGCATTGTCCTCTCTGAAGGACACAGCTACACAGTACCACTGAATCTACACCTTAATTTTAGACTCCCAACCTTATTCTCCATAAACTACCTGGCTGGAGGCATTTTCTTATAGTAGCACAGAGAAATGAGAGCACAGAGGAAAAGGCAGAGCCACAGACATTTATTTTAATGATTAGAAAGCAGTATCAAGCAATATCAAGGTTGTCTTTAGTGTTCAAATTTGAAAACATCTTCAAGCCAGGTAGTGATGGAACATGCCTTTAATCCCAGCACTCAGGAGGCAGAGACAGGCGAATCTCTGTGAGTTCGAGGCCAGCCTGGTCTACAAAGCAAGTTCTAGAACAAGCAAAACTATACAGAGAATCCCTGTCTTAAAAAAAAAAAAAAAATGAGGGAAGAAAGAAGGAAAAGAAAAGAAAACATTGGATGCTAAGCTATTAGGGAAATGCAAATAAACACTACACTAAGATTTCATTTCACCCCAGCCACAATGATTATCAAGAAAATGATGTCAACAAATGTTAGAGAGGATTGGAAAGGGAGTTAAATTAGCTCAGGAACACAGAAATCAGGATGGAGGGTCCTTGAACACTAAAAACACTGCTATGCGGTCTAAGTCTACTCCACACGCACACCTGCATAACCATTTGCTGTGGCACTCTTTGTACAACTCAAGTTTTAGGATCAGCCTGGGTGACTGTAACAGCGATAAAGAAAGGGTTTTTGCTGAAGTGGCTTCTTTATAAAAAATCAGGTGTCCATAGGAGTGTGGATTTATGTCTAGGTATTCAATTCAATTCCATTGATCAACATGTCTGTTTTTATGGCAATACCATGTAGTTTTTAATACTATAGTTCTTTACTACAGCTTGAGATGAGGGATAGTGATACCTCCAGCAGTTCTTTTATTGCTCAAGATTGTTTTAGCACTCCTGGGTTTTTTGTTTTTCCATATGAAGTTGAGAATTGTCCTTTCAAGGTCTGTAAAGAATTGTTTTGGAATTTTGATAGGGATTGCACCAAATCTGTAGATTGCTTTTGGTAAGATGACCATTTTAAATGTGTTAATCCTACTGATCCATGAGCATGGGGGATCTTACTGTCTTCTGATATCTTCTTCAATTCCTTTCTTCAAATACTTGAAGTTTTTCTCATGTAAGTCTTTCACTTGCTTGGTTAGTTATCCCAAGATATTCTATATTATTTGTGGCTATTGTAAAAGGTGTTGTTTCCTTAGTTTCTTTCTCTATTTGTCATTTGTATATAGGAGGGCTACTGACTTTAAGTTAAACTTGTATCCCACCATATTACTGAAGGTATTTATCAGCTGTAGGAGTTCCCTGATGGAATTTTTAGGGTCACTTGTGTACCCTATCATGTCATCTGCAAATAATGATACTTTAACTTCTTCCTTTTCAGTGTGTATCCCTTTGATCTCCTTCAGTTATCTTATTGGTCTAGCTAAGACTTCAAGTACTGTATTGAATAGATACAGAGAGAGTGGACTATCTGATTTGAGAATAATCACTTTGACTTTCTCTCCATTTAATTTGATGTTGGCTATAGGTTTGCTGTACGTTGCCTTTATTGTGCGTAGGTATGTCCCTTGTATCCCTAATCTCTCCAAGAGCTTTATCATGAAGGGGTGTTGGATTGTGTCAAAGGCCTTTTTCCAAATCTAGTGAGATGATCATGTCTTGTTTTCCTTTCAGTTTGTTTATTTGGTGGATTACATTTACTGATTTTTGTATGTTGAAACATCCTGGCATTTCTGGGATGAACCTTAATTGATCACGGAGGATGACTTTTTGATGTGTTCCTGGATTCAGCTTACAAATATTTTATTGAGTATTTTTGCACCTACATGCATAAGGGAAATTGGTGTGTAATTCCCCTTCTTTGTTGAGTCTTTATGTGATTTGGGTATCAAGGTAACTGTGGCCTCATAAAATGAATTTGGCAATGTTTCTTCTGTTTCTATTTTGTGGAATAATTTGAGGAGTAATGGTGTTTGTGCTTCTTTGAAAATTTGGTAGAAATCTGAGCTAACACCATCTGGGCCTGGGTTTATTTTGGTTGGGAGACTTTTAAAGACTGCTTCTATTTCCTGGGGGGTTAGAGGTCTATTTAAGTTGTTTATCATATTTTGATTTAACCTTGGTTGGTAAGTGATACCTATCAAGAAAATTGTCCATTTCTTTTAGATTTTCTAATTTGGTGGAACACAGGTTTTTAAACTATGCCTTTGATTTCCTCAGTGTCTGTTGCTTTGCTCCCTTTTTCATTTCTGATTTTATAATTTGGATATTCTCTCTCTATCTTTTAGTTATCTTGGATAAGGCTTTGTCAATCTTTACTTTCTCAAAGAATCAACTCATTGTTTCACTGATTCTTTGTATTGTTCTCTTTGTTTCTATTCTATTGATTTTAGCCTTGAGTTTGATTATTTCCTGCTGTCTACTCCTCTTGGGTGGTGTTTGCTTCTTTTTGCTCTGGAGCTTTCAGGTGTGCTGTTAAGTTGCTGGTTGAGATCTCAGAGACTAAGGCAGCAAGTACGGGGCCTACAGGAGTCTGCACCAGTTCCCCAGCGTGTATGCTGTGGCTGTTACTTTGCTTCTGTGAACTACTGACAGTGGAAGCAGCTGTGTCTTTGACTCTTTTGCCTGCACCTGCGACTCTTTTCCTATTGTCAGGTTGACTCGTCCAGCTTCGGTGTGACGGCTTCTGTCTTGTCTTATTATATTTTGTTTTGTCATATTTGGTTGTTGTCTACTGGTGGCCTGATCTTTTCTGAAGGGAGACAGAGGGGGACTGGATCAAGGAGAGAGGGGAGACCAGGGGGGAGCAGGGAGGAGTGGAGGGAGTGGAAACTGTGGTCGGGATGTATAGTATGAGAGCAGGATCTAGTTTCAATTAAGAAAAGAAAGTAGAGTTTTACTTGCTCATAAAGAACAATGAAGTTATGTCACCTGCGGCAAACAGATGGAACTGGAGGTTATCACAAAACAAGCCACTGTAAGAAAAACAGATGTTGCATGTTCTCTCACATGCAGAGTCTAGATTTTATTAACACACGTGATGTGAAAACAGAAGGAAGGGAAGACTTGGTGTGAGGAAGGGAATCAGCAAGAGAGATGAGACGATGTCAAGAGACCGTCATTGAGGGGCAGGGAGTATGGTACAAGTCCAGGATACACCTGTATGAAAACACCGCAGAGAGGCCTGTTATTTTGTACAATGATTGCATGTTAATAAAAAAAGGGAGTTGCTGTTTTAAAAATTAAATAATCATGTTCATATAAAAAGGTATTTAATGATTCTGGTTTGGGCATTACTAAATGTAAATAGTGCACAATAAAAACCAAAGATATTTCAACAGTAAATAAGCTCACTGCCATCTAGTAAGAGTAACATATAATAAAAAGGACAATCATAGTGAGACTGATGACCAGGACAAACTCCTTAGCCAACAGCCACTGGCAGACCCAAGAGGAACTGGGGGTTAATATCAGCATGGCCACTCCCACAGAAACAGGAGTTCATGCAGTCCATAGTAGTTTAGAAAAAGAAACAACTATTTGGTCAACCAGAAAGTTTATAAGAGGGCTCAGATCATGGTGCACACACACACACACACACACACACACACACACACACACACACACTTGCACACACACATAGAGTAATTTAAAATATTTATTTGATTGAAAAAGCAATAGCTATTTTAAAAAGATCTAAAGTGACAGAAGTTGCTTTCAGCTATCCCACAAACTTAACACTGGTACTCCACCACCAACCATCCTGTGCACTGATTTTTTTTCTCCTTGAATTACTGTAATAATCTTATTTCTGCATGTTTCCCTTCTATCCTTGACACTTTCAGCAACAATTAGGTATTGCAAGGGACTAAATTTCTTTAATTTTTTTTGCCAACACTCACAAGATCACAGAATAAAGCTGTCAGTCACTCTAATATCTACATGGAAAGGGAGTAATGTAGGAAGACATTCTGCATCTCTAAGCCACCCATGATCATAAGGTATAATTAATGGTTCTCAGGAGGTAAAGAATAAGCTACTACATATGCATAAGGAATAGTACTGAATTCCACTATCACAAATGATTTAAACCAGTAGTAAAAATAACAAATGTCCTATCTTTGGTAGGAATATGAAAGCATGAATATAAAGAAAAACAGTTTAAATACATCTTGGTTGACAGAAGCCTATCTACAACTATCACCCTAGCTAACATGTGGAGAAGCCGAGAATACTTCTAGACTTACCTGCTGGAGGCAGGCAGTCTTTCCAGTCAAAATAGCCTGCATATATCCCAGGTTCCAAGGATCCGACAATAGGATCTGCTTTTAGCTCAATGTAATTTTCAAAGAGTCGTTGGTCTAGTTCTTTCAGTGATGCCATGCTAACCTACAACACAAAACAAAGAGTATAAGATACCCATTTAAGAGTGAAGGAAAAATGAAATAATGCAAGTAAATATACAATGTATTTTAAAAAGAACATGTCTACAAAGTTCAGGTTTCTAGCTTATCTACCTTAGTAAGAAGGAGAACTATTAGAGTGGCTATTTTACACAATAAGAAACAGTTCCCATCTATGGAGTAGAGGTTATGCTTCAGAATACTTTAAACTTTCATTCTGTAGGCAGAGCAAACTGGTAGTATTGTGGAGAACCACAGAGGCTTCCTAGTGGGCACTTACTCAGGGTCAGAGAATCTGGGCTTGCTTTACCCAGCAAGCTGCATAATAGGATGATTTGACCATGGGCATAGTTACCAGGTGTTTTGAAGGGTCTACACTTGGCTGTACAGTGTGCTTGGATCTTGCAAGAGGGAGGTCTTCTGCCTCTCCCCTTGGCATTTGTATAAAAAGCCCTTTTGAATAACCGCCTAGCATGGCTGGTTATTGAACCAGGGCCCTCCCGAAGCTATCCTGTGTCTCTGCCTTTCTTATCATCTCCTTCTCCCAATCTATCTAATATTTCCTCATTCCTCTCTCCTCCGCCCAAGAACCCTTCAAAAGGTGGGAGCAGGTTGGAGATGGACTCCGGCAGACGCCCACATAGTATAAATACTAAATAGCCAGTAACCTACAATACAAAGGGTACCAACTGCAGTGTTACACATCAGTGATGTCATTTCAAGGCATCCTGCTCTAATAACCTGTCTGTGGCTACCCTGGCATCCTCCAATCACATATTGGCAAGACTGAGATGTGTCTAAGCACTGAGCAGTCTGAATTTATACTATAGTTACTCCACACAGACACAAAATACAGGTCTTGCTCCCTCGTGGTTCAAACAATACACCAAAGATGCTACTAGAGAGTCCTGGTTTGAGTATTGCAGAGGCCCAGAAGTAGGCATAGTTCAGCACAGGACAGCTGTAGCTCCTGCTGGCAGTAAGGGCAAAACAGACAGAGAGGTTGGCATCAGCCTTAAGGAGTGGGCTTAGTTTCAATGGCACTCAAATGACTAAGATACCATCTGACAACAAAGGTGTGCTGGCCCAGGGTACTCTGTAGTGGAGCATGGCCAGTCTTCTTTCATGCCATTTACCCGAGGGACACACAGGCTTTTGGAACACCATACCTCAACTTCAACAAACTGACAAGAAAGTGGAATGCACATCTAAGGAGTATACTTACTAGGAACCTAAGTACCCACCAACCAGTGATGAGAGCAACAGCAGGAATAGAACACAATGGCAATCCTTCAGAAGGGAGCTAGAGTCAATCATAAAACATGATTTTATGGAGACATGACATATAATTTCCAAAGGGACTGAAGTGACAGGCAGCTTGTCGTTCAAAGCACAAAGTGACACACAGAGAAATCTAAAGCTGGAGTTAGAACCAGGGAAGACGGTTTCAGGTGGCTGTATAACACAAACCCACAGAAAGTCAAGGGGGACAAATGAGCAACAAGAGAAGAGTACCAACTCCACAAGCAAAGACGACATTTTCACTGGAGTTTGAGCCAGTTTGAGCTATAGCAGATTGCTGAGCTCCAAGCTAGACTGATGACACTACATATCTAGGCACATGCTACAAGTTTTCAGTTTCTAAGTGAATATGGGGCAGAGGGAGGTGAGAATCTTTCACGTTTTGAGAAGAAAGTAGCAACACCTACAGAGAATAAAGGATCAGTGTGAGTTCTGAAATGCCATCCTCAAACCTGAGATCACTGCAAGTATCTACAGGAGTAAAAGAACCCAAACTCAGAACCATGTCGATCCCTTAACTAAGTGCAGAAATGCACATTTGGTTATGAAAGCATTCAAGGAATGTATCATATACATTTGTGAGAAAGGGCACTGACCTAGAGTCAAACAAATCAGACTGGGGAAGAAAATGAATCCAAGTTCTTTCCCAAAGTCCTCCATGCCTACTATCTACAAACAAACCGAAAAGATTAGAACCATCCTAGAAAAGTGAAATATAAGTTCTAAATAAGTATTCGTTTCAAAAACGTTTTTGTTTTATGTGTTTTGTCTGCATGTATCTATGTGCACCACTTGTATGGGGTGCCTGCGGAGGCCCAGAATAGGACATCAGATCTCCTGGAAGTAGAGCTACAGAGGGTTGTGAGCTGCCATGTGGGTACTGGGAACCAAACCAATGTCCTCTGTTGTAACAGCAAGTGTTTTTAACTACCGAGCTATCTCTCCAGCTCCAAAGATTCTTTAAAGTAATTTTGTTTTGTTTTGTTTTGTTTTTGTTTTTAGAGACAGGGTTTCTCTGTGTAATAGTTTTGGTGCCTGTCCTGGATCTTGCGCTGTAGACCAGGCTGGCCTTGAACTCAACAGAGATAAAAAGCCCTTTGAATAACCTGCCTCTGCCTCCCGAGTGTTGAGATTAAAGGTGTGCGCCACCACCACCTGGCCTAAAATAATATTAAAAGAGGGTAGGGAGTACAGTTCAGTGGTAGAGCATATGCTTAGCATGTCAAAGACTTGCTGGTCCTTAGGAATGGCCCCCTCCAAGCCCTCAACAAGAAATTCTTAAGCAAAAAGTGGCTGACAACAGAAAGGGGTCATACCTAAACCCATGTGGAGATGAGGCAGCAAGGAAAGAAACCTGAGCTGCAGATGTTTAAGAGAGAAGTTTAAAAGAAGACAGACTTAGAATTAATGGTTTAAACTCCCAAGGAGCAAGTAAAATAGAAAATTAAAGTGGAAGGGAACAAATTCAGTTGGAAAACCATTAATACAAAACATAGGTTTCAAAGTATATGGGTTTTTTGAAAAAAGAAAAATGTGGGATGTAGCTCAGGAGTAGAATACCTGCCTAGTATGTGCAAGGTCCTGGGTTAAATACCTGGTGCTGCAAAAGGAGCTAGGGGATGAGAG